ATTGTAATCCAAGCTGGAGCAAATGAGACTCTTTTGACAGTGGAGTACAAACAAAAGCTGGAGCAAATGAGACTCTTTTGATAGTGAAGTACAAAATTTTGTTGGGTAACTCATCGTCTTTCCCAGCTAATTATTTAAATATATACTTGTTCACCCCAAATAAAAATTTATACTAATTCACCCCAAATATAAAACTCACACACGACCAAAAAAAAGAACTATAATTTAGGGAAAATTACATATACCCCCTTCAAAGGATACTTTCTAGACAATCTCCCCCCAATAACATATTTTTTTGCAACTTTTACCTGAAAATCATGTTTTATAGTAAATACCCCCCAAGTAAAAACAAAATGTCAATAAAGACCAAAATACCCTCACATTAGTTAAAATGCCTCTCTATTGCCATTCGGTCCGACAGATGTGCCATGCGGTCCAGCATATTTGCCGTTCAGTCTGGCCTTTGCTATAAAACTTAGTCTTTGGGTAAAAGTTGCAAACAAAAAATTGGCTGGCAAGATAATGTAAACAAAGTTAAGTCCATGGGGGTTTTTGGTAATTTGGCCACGTAAGTTACTCGAGCCATAAAACCCAAAATCTATAGCTTTCTTTGGGTTCCAAACCTAATATATATATATATATATATATATGTGTGTGTGTGTGTGTGTGTGTATGTGCGTGTGTGTGTGGTTAAAGGGTGCAGTTGGCATATGGTTGCATCCGTAGCTGTAGAGGTAAGGTGCACTTTCAAAATTTATCATGGTATATAATTTTGATGTAAAATGTTCTTAGGATTATCTCAAAATCTATTTTTATATCTAATTATAAAATTTTAAATTTTAAAAATAGTTAAAATCAAGTAGATCTATAAACATATGAAAATCTTGAAAATAGACGGTGTAGATAATATGTTGTAAAATGCACTATTTTTTAGACTTAAAATCTTTGTATTTTTTATGGTCATACATCTCGATGTCGAGATGATCAATCAAAGGGTTTTTCAACATTAAAACTATATTTTCCGATGGATTTTTGAGGTGTATCCGTAGCTGTAGAGGTAGGTTGCAACCTTTTATAAACTTTTTCTATTTGTAAATGTTTTTACGCTTTGTTTTTATCATTTTGTAATTGAAAATACTACGCATGCATGTTACATGTTAGCACATACATTGGTTGCCATGAACATGATGCCAGCCACATATGAGACTTACATCTTCCAATGGATTTAGGAAGTGTCGCCTTCTAAAGAAGAAGAATTGGTTTGTTTCTTGGATTCTTTTGAATAGCCTACTATTCGTAGCATAGAAATAGGGCAAAAGGTTATACAAGGCTGAGGCCCTAAACAATCAAATTAAGACTCACATCATAAATATGTAAGAGGTTGTTTTAATGCAGAAAAATCTTCAAATCGATCATCTTGACCTCAAGTGTAGGGACATGAAAAACATGGATTTCAAGTCTTGAAATAGTGCATCTTGTAATACATTTTTTGGATCGTCAATTTTCACAATTTTCAAGTATTCATAGATTTGTTCAATCTACTTTACTTTTAAAGCTCCAAAGTTTATAGTTAAAGATGAAAATAAATTTTCAGGCCATCACAATGATTTCTAGTAGTAAAGCAACATCCTTAAATACTATTTGAAGATGCGTCTTGATTGTTTAGAGCATCAGCCTTATACAAACCACACCCTAGAAATAACATGTTGCGTGTTTCATCACTGGTTTGAAGTGGATGAGCGGTTAATCTCAAACAGTGCAGATCAGTGAGTTGAATCGGTCACCCATAGTCGAAGCGAAATTGCCAAGACAGCTAGACCGATTATACCAATACTTTTTACCAAAAAATTAAATAAATAAAATAGAGAAAAGTATTAAAAATATAAAGGAAAAGAGTACAATTTTAAAATCAAAACGAAATATTGATTTCACTTAATAGGAATTTTAAATACAAATCAAAACAAAATAAATAGAGAAAAGTATTAAAAATATAAAGGAAAAGAGTACAATTTTAAAATCAAAACGAAATATTGATTTCACTTAATAGGAATTTTAAATACAAATCAAAACAAAAAGTTAGGATAAAAACATTTCAGGAAGGAAATGGTGGACAAAAGACAAAAAGGCCAAAAAAAAAAAACCAATGTTTTTTATCTCAGGGACTTTTGTTTTTGATACAAAAAAAAGTTTGCTGGGACATTGTAGATAAATGTGACGTGACAAATTTGAACCAATTTGGTGAAACAGGTAGTGACAAATTGAATATTTTCAATTTCCAGTTAAAAAATTCTTGAAATATTTATTATAGATCTCTTTGAACAAGGGCTTCGATTCAACAACAGAGGATATGGATGTGTTAAAGCGATCCAAAAGGATCTTTTTGAAACAAATTTCCAATAATTTGGTAGAAAATTGAAGGGTGAATCAAAGGGAAGGTGCATTGGATCTCAAAAAATTGTAGAAACATAAAACCCAAAAAATTCATAATGAGATTTTATTGTTTTGGATTTTGACTGCAATAATTGTTTAGACTTATTGTAGATGAAAGAGACAGCAACAAGTTGGGACAAATTTGAGATATGTTTTATGAAGAAATGCGAGAGAAATCAATGCTTCTTAAACATTCAATTTGTAAAAATACAAAACATGGTCCGATTAGCCCGATTCAGAGAGGGGAACCTCAGGCCAGTCCTCCAATTGAACAATGCTTTTTTAAACCCTTAATCTCAATATGATGTTGAGAATGGACGGTTTGAATAAACATTTAAGATAATGTTTTCTGATAGTCGTTCTCTCGTTACTTTTAGTACGAGGATGTCACAATTACACTTTATCTCTCAAATTTCAAATTGGGTGGTCGCATATCTTTGACCGGACTCAAAGTTCAAAGAATTTTTTTTTTTTTATTTTAAACTTTGTTATATAAACCCCCTATCTATCCAATTTGATATCTAATGGCTACAAGTAAATGTGACCTCCTTGTAACAAAGGTAAATTATCTCATCTATAACTCATGAGCGAATTTCTATAGTATTTCGCTCATGACTCATCACCATCCAAAGCCTATTGTACGATCATGGTTGTTTGATAGTGTGTGTGAATTTTACTAATTTTCTATAAATAAGGTTTATGTGAAATTTGGATCGTGTGTATATCTAACAAACGCGCACCTAAATAAAATATTGAAAAGATAATTCTCAAAAAATAAAATAACAAAAATACATGTAAAATATTCATTGGGGGTAATTTTTTCATTTTTATTATTTGGTTTTTCAATATTTTATTTAGATGTCCCTAACTAAGGCGTGCACACTCAAAAAATTTCAGATCAATCATATATATAAAAAAATATTAAAATTCAAATAATATTAAACAATCTCGACTGTCTGACAAACTTTGAAAGATGATAGCCACTCCATATCAAATTCAGTTGAAATTCCTTTAACCCCTTATTCTATTGCAATACCTCAAAATGAAGCGGATGACACCTCAAGTACCGATGACATGTTCTACTCAATACTTCGACTATTTTTTAATAACATAGTGGAGTAAATGGCAACTCGATTCAACTGAGTATTATGACAACTCTTGTCCAATGCTGACGTGGAAGGAGTGATGCAAGACAAGAAGCTTATTATTTTTTAATTTCTTCTATTTAAATTTTAAGGATTTTTTATTTTGGATTTTTAGGGTTTACTTTTAAAGTGTTTTTAGCGATTCTAGGGATTTTAAGGTTTTTTAAATTTTAGAAGTTGGTTTTGGAGTACTTAGATTTCTTATAGAATTATTTACTTTGTCAGATATAAAAATGTTATAATAAATGTTATTTTAATTAGGACTTCTATTTTAATTAGAATTAAAATTTCTTGAGTTCTAACGTGTCTTTTATTGTAAGTAGACATTTTATTAGGGTTTTTCATATGGAGTTGAGTTATGATATCTTATTTATGCTTTAGTGTGCGATGAACCATCCAAGCTTGGCTTATAGTTTTTCTCTTTAATTTTCCAATTATTAGATTATTTGATTTTCTTCTTTCAAAATTCTTTCCATATTATTTAATGTAGGCTTGATGGCCATTGGTAATTTTGATTTTTCAAAGAACAAGTCATTAATGGTGGGTTTCAAAGATTGATTGGGACTTGTAAAGTTGCAAAGGTAATTTTAAAATCTGTGGATTCTATGCAAGTGAGGTCACCATAGAGGGCATTACCAAAGTGCTTGACTATACTTTCCCTGATACTGAGAGTTAGGTGGTTGATGAGGTGATTTTGAGCATTGTACCTTCAACACATGCATAACTTTTAGCTCGTAGATGATAATCACTATTATGGGTTTTTATCGGAAAGGTTACTCATAGCGCTATGACATTTATATAGACTTTGTTGATTTTTTGTTTCGATTTTATTAAAAAAGGCTTAAAAATGGAGTTTCGAGTTCCCTACATCCTTTCTGAAATTAGAATCCGTTTCTTAACGGTTTTCTGCACTACCCAAAACCTATGAGTCCCTGGATCAAGTGCACTATACTTGGGTTGAAGATGATAGTGGATTTGTTGGAGGATGCATCATAATACATTTCAAAACTCGATGACGTGTTTTCTCTAATTAGGGGAGGCTGATGCAAGACATGATGTTACTTATTTATGAAATTTTCTTATTAAATCTTATGGACAGACTTTTTTATGTTTTTAGGGTTTCATTTTAAAAGTTTATGTGCATTATTTTTTGATCTTCAAATTCATAATTATAAGCATGATTGACTTTTGAAACCATCCTAAATATTTTTGCAAGGAACTACATTTTACAAAATTTTGAGATTCAACTTTACTTTCTTTTATGAGGCTTTGTATAAAATGCATCAACATATACATATCTCTGGAACAGGACCACCATTTGCGCTCCCCTCTCCATCACAGGCAAAGGAGACTTAGAAAAATGCCATAATACTTAGCTGTGATTACAATAACTATAAATTTATAATGATTACCTATTGCTACAAGTAACTCAAAGAAGCACTTAACAAGCTCATCAAGATCCTGCAAAACTTTGTTTTATTGTTTCATAAACTAGTCTTCAAATTGAATATAACCCATATATATATATATATATATATATCTCTCTCTCTCTCTAAAAACTTGTGTTGGGGGGTGGCCACAATTCAATCGGAATTGGTTTTCAAAATGCGATGAAAAGTTGGGAATTTTTTTTTTTTTTTGAAGTGGGAGACCACCCCAAGTAATAAATTGTTGCCTGAATCAAAGAGCAATTGCAAGCTTTCTCCTTTTGTGAATCCAATCTAGGAGTTTGGGAGAGGTTTTCCACCCAAGAATGAGTTGAAGAGGAGAAAGGCTGCTCTAGACTTGAAAAGAGGCACCTCATGACCTGCTCCTCTCACGGTAGCAAATGTCAGCCCTTCATAAACCTCTGTCCATCCTGCCACCTTCACAATTTACATACGACACGAATAAAAAAAAATCAAAATAGTTTCAATATAATGATTTATACATGCTTCTTCTAGATACCCAAAACCGTCAAATTACCGCAATGCTCGCATTTATATTCTTGGTTCCAAACCTGAAAGAGGTTTTTTTTTAAAAAAACATATTTCAAGTTTGGACTCTAAAAAGAATAACGGTATTTACGTCATTTGGCTTAAATGATTCAACTGGGCCAAATGATCTCATTGATCATTCCGATCCCAAAATAAAAACAATTTGGATTCCTTTTCAATAAAATTCGTGATGAGGTACCAAAGTGGAACGGGTTTTAATGAGTAACCACTTTCTTGAAAACATTTTTTTATTTAACCTAATGGATTTAACCACAAGGTTAATTTTCATCATTTTTCATCACAAGATCCTTTATTTGCCATATGAAAGTAGTCTCTACTAACAGCAAGAAGAGAACCATAATATACATCATAAATCATATAAGAAATGAATTAGAGATCAAATCAGGAATTTATGCATGTCTATTAGCAATATTGGACCTAATTTCACATAGACATATATGGAATAAATTTAAAGAGTAAAGTTTTCAAAGGTTTTCTCACCTGCTTTTTAACATACCATGGGTGCCATGGTATCTTTGTTGATAGCCGGAGGCGTGCAAGTGAAAATCTAGTTGCAGTCACAGGAACAACAGAATCTACATCTCCACTGTGTGTGTGAGTGAGAGAGAGAGATTTCGACGTAAGATTCGCGATAGAAAATTTGACAAGTGAATATTTATGGAATGTAATTATGAAATATTTTGAAGGGGATCACACACCTGAAAACCCAAACCCTCAATCCGGCGGCGATCATTTCCTTGTAGATTGGTAGAATGGAATTAGCCGAGTCCTTCCAATTCCGGTTCAGAATTTCACTATTGTTGAACTTAATTAGGTTTTTTTCAAAGAATAAAAAAAACAATAAGAAAATTGTGCTCGCGCGCTTGATTTAGAAATGGAGACATTGGATATTTATTTGTCATTTATCTATGTTAGTGCTTGTGTTTTGTATGTGTGTGAGAGAGAGAGAGATTTATTCACTTGTTTATCCTAAATCCCAGGTGTGTGTCTTAGAGAGAGAGAGAGAGAGAGAGATTTTTCCACTTATTTATTGTAAATGTAGTGTTTGTAAACAAAATATCCACTTAAAATTAGAATATGGCCGCTTGTTTAGAGTGTGCGTGTGTGAGAGATCATATGGCGTAGTTGGTTTGGTGAATTGATAAGAGATCTTGCGGGGCATATTCTTTGTTTTTTTCTGGCCCTTGTGATGTTACTACCGTCAATGAAGCTGAAGCTAAAGTTAGAGGCTTTTGGGAAGGCATTAAACTCTTGTCAAGATTTGAAGGAGCGAAGATCATAGTAGAGGATTCAATAAACATTATAGCTTGAAGGCTGACTATAATTTTTTATGAGATACGAGATATTCTTAAAACTATAACGTCTGAAGCTGATTGTCGTTGCTATTGGGAGGCTAATGCCGAAGCTGATTGTCTTGCAAAAGAGCGAGTACACCAATTTTCGTTGGAGATTACTGCCTTCCAATGACTTCGTTTTTATCTTGTAATCTATTTTCATGAAAATTCCTTGGAAATGTTAAAAACAAAAAGTGTGTGAGAGAGGTGTGGTGTTCTTGAGAGAGAGAGAGATTGTAATATACTTGCAAGCCGTCCATTTATAAGAGATATTGGTGGTGTTGGCATGAAGAGCCTTTTGAACATCGGGGCGGTTATAATATATTTCAGCATACTTCTCAGTGCAAGGATCATATCCTCCTCCTCGATATCCTCCAATAACCTTTACCAAATATTCAAAACTTTGATTAGTTAAAGGAAAAAGTATAACTAAGATGCAAGTTCAAAATTTATAATAAAAGGTTGTTTTGATGTTTGAAAAAAAGATTTCGAGTCCCAAAATAGTGTATCTTGCAACATATTATTTGGACCATCTATTTTCAAGCTCATATGAAAAATGTCCCTGACTAATTGGATTAACTTCATTAAAACTGGCCAACCTACTAAACTTACTTTTTACAAGGATGTCACAATTACTTTTTTCTATCAGAGTTCAAATTAGAGATGGTTGTGAACATGTCATTTACTAGACTCAAAGTTTCCAAATATTCTCGAACTTCACGACATACCTCAAGCTATCTAATTTGACATCTAATAGCTAAGAGTAATTGTAATCTCCTTATAATAAAGATAAATGGTCTCACAGTATACAATCTCTTATAAGCATCAACAAAAATACCTAGATTTCACTACCTAAAATAGCCAAAAGTATTGTAGATTTATCTCACATTTTTGCTAATTTATTCATTATCGAACAACTAATCATCATCACTATTCCTATTACTATTATGCTTATTGAAAGAAAACCATCTCGATGATTATCATTGTTATAGAACTAGCAAAATAGCTAAAATATTTATTTGCCGAAACTCAATACCGAAGTTTTGAAGCGAAGGGGTGAAGACAGTGTCCTTCTGGTGGTTGTTGCGCCATCAGACGAGTTGCAAGGGGGTGCATATATATTGTACTGATCGATGTTTCCGAATTCTCGACTCGTTGCATACGTGAACCAGCGATCACAAGCCCCTGTAAGGTTTTCAAGATGGAAGTCACAGGATTTTAGTATGTTCTTGTAGGTTTTATCAGAGATCATAGCATGGCTCCACCAGTATGTCACTGTCCCCAAGTTGTCATAGTAGTTGTCTGTAACTGCATTTCCAACCTGCAATAGTTTTGGAAATTTTCATACATTAATTTAGTAACATTTGTTTGGTCCTTTTCAACTTAAAGTTCATTCAAATCGCATGTGATTTTCTCATTATTTTGATCTATCTACCCTCAGAAAAGCCTTATTCTTAACTACCTTTATGGGCAGTCATGAAGATATAAAATTTTCAATGGCCATAATGAACTCTAGCAAAATGTAAGTCTTTTCTAATGACAAAGGTTTTCTAAACTTCCCCTACTTCAAAATACAAGTCTTTTCTAATGAGAAAGGTTTTCTACACTTCTTCTACAGCATAAGGTTTTCTACACTTCCTCTGCAGCATAGAAGATATATACTTTCCCCCATTAGTCGTCCAATTTAGATCATGTGAACCACTGTCCGTTTGATCTAGATTCGACACCTCAGAGAATTTTGTTTTTAGTTCCTTTTTTAAAAATTATATTAATAGGAAATTTGGTACGTGCCATCATCTCAATAGAGCGCACCAAAAAAAAAAACAGAAAAACTAAAAAGTAATTTTTTCAATAAAATATAATGACCAAAATACCCCTTGAAATTTTCAGGCGTATTTTGGTTATTTTATTTTATTGATATTTTTTTTTATATTTTTTTACAAATGCAAGTTTGAGAGAGGAGTGGCCGCCCAAATAGTTTGTAAAAAATAATTAAAAATAAAATAGTGTAGAGAAGTCAAATTGTGATTAGAACCATCTCAGCCGTCCGTTCAGAATGAAAGGTTAAATAGAGGAGCATATATAAGTTTTATGCAGTAGGAGAAACATAGAAAGCTTGCCTTTTTTTAATAGCTATAAAAGAAGTTTTTATTTATTAATTTTATTTATTTATTTTATTCCTTTTTTGTCTATCGGCTTTGCCTATCGGCGAAACCCTTATTACTGGGAGCATTGTGTGAATAAGTAGGGTTACATTCCCGAAATTGTGCCTTTGAATAATATATCTACCATTGAGCCAAACCTTTCACCACCCACTCATACATAACTATAAGCGATATCTTATCCGATATCTTATCCCAGGGATGAAAATTAATGTTATTAAATTTGCTTCGCTTTAGCTTTTCAGTTTTTAAACATAAACCAAAATGAAGAGAAGCCCGGTGCTGCTGCTTCAGTCAGATTCGGGCCACTTCAGATTGCTTCAGCCAAATTCGGGTTTGCTTCAACTGAAGCTTCAGGTTGCTTTGGTTAGAAAAGAAATACCTATATAAAAGTACTTGTTTAATTTTGTTTTTAATTTTAAAATTTTCCATTATATATATATATATACACCTAATTTATTTATATTAAATTTTTTTTAAAAAAAGGTTAGAAGATTTCTAAATTGGCCAAAGCACCAAATTGCTTCATTTTTCTTACCAAACCGAAAAAAGACTTCGAAACGAATATGACAACATTGCTAAAACAGTGGACATCCAAATGGGGCCTTAGTCATTTGCTTACAATTTCATTTCTTTCCCATGTATAAGTCTCTGTCTCACCCATATTCCGCTGATGTGCATGAATTGTATGAAATGCTAAACAAATATGATAATTAAAGAAATAAGTATTACAATGTATGACAAAAACATAATAATTATAAAAAGGAAGATTGCATAACGGGTTAAAACCTCGTATAAAATCATTGAGGGGTCAAAACATGCTGATTAACGTTTCAGGATTCATTTTTTTTATTTTTCATTTAATTAAACATTTTTTTAAAAAATATCTTCATATATACTCAAATTGTCTCTATTTAGGATTGGAAATCTTAAACAAGCAAACACATTTCAATAATTTGACGTAAATAAGAGACGTCATCCAAATTATGAAAGTGCCCCTGCTCGTTATGAGTGTATCAAATTACTAAAATACCCCTATTTATTTAATATTCTCAACCATAAAAATGAGCAATTCATGTAATTTTTTAGGAGGTCTATTAATTAAAAATAAGCTCTCCAATATTAATTGAGATCTTTTTGTTCCTTACTAATGTGAACCATACAATACTACTGCAGTACAACATAATAATAATGTGAACAACCATACTACTACAAGGGTGTCGTGTGCCATAACTATATTGCTTGTAATATGTAATGCATCCGTAATTAAAATAACTTTGGCTTTCATAAAAAGGACACACCATTAGTCCTAGAACTCATATGTGCATATGTGCTCCCTCTTCAAAACTAATTTTGAGATGGATTTTAGACCTACTCTCTTAGGTATATATGATGTCTAATATGGATTATATATATAACCAAATAAATTTTAAAACTAAAAAATACAATTTTTTAAAAGAAAATTTATTGACCATTGATTTTTATCCTTTTCAGAATGACTACGCCTGAGCATCCTTCTTTAAGATGGTTGTTTTATGCCTCAGGAAAGGCAACTATAGATATGCGTGCCTGACGCATAAATAACTTTTCCTAAAAGAATGCAACATTGCTTGCAGAAAGATCAGCAAACTCACATATAGAGAAAAAAAAATTACTCTTGAGTTATTTGTATTTACTATAATATTGGTTTGGAAGATGCCTCTAAATCCCCACATGCCCCAGATTTTTGTAAATGATAGAAACATCATCCACTGTTGCATCAAGTCAAGATTCAAGATCAGTGATCTACAAATCATATTATTGCAGGAGTGAGCTCGATGTCTAGAGCCAGGCATTCTAGGGCCAAAAACAATAGAATCACCCAAGTCTCCTAAAGTTTCTTTACTAATCTTTCAATTTTCTTATTAGAAGTCAATAGCTCTGACTCAGACTCGCCCATATCAAACTTGTGGGACTCGGATCTATGTGAGACAGAGCCCCATTCCGATTCACCACACATGAATCAGTTTTAACAACAAAAATGGACCCAATCCCCCAAGCACCTCATTTGTTTTTAACCTTTTTCCTGCAATCGTTTTTGCTTTATCTTGTTTCATAGAGATGATGGATCTCTTTCTGACATCACAAAAATATCCTTTTATCTTAGGGTGGCAAAATGTCCGGACCCGGACCCGAAAATAGTATTGGTTCATAGATACAAGCCCAACACAAGAATAGATGAAGTTTCGTACCATAATTCCTTTGAGGTTGATGCCATGCGGAGCCCTTGAGTTATATTGGAGAATCTGATGAGCCAATTGAGGAACGTAGTGACCAGCATAGCTCTCCCCTGTCAAATAAAGCTCTCTATTTTTGTACCGTGGAAAACGATCGAACCACCTTAACAAGAACTGCAAGGAGTCCTTGGCTGCGAAAATGGAAGAAAGAGAGGAGATGCTTAACCTCAAATACATTTCAAGTTCCAATTCTCTGGCCTCAGTTCAGCTCAAAGTCAAGAAACAAGCAAACATGAATAATTAGCGAATCATGTAAAACTCTGTAGTTTAGAAACTTGGTACACCAAAAATTTATTCAAAAAAGGCATAGGAAATAAAGCTTAGATTAATAAGTGATGCAATTTATAATTCTGAATAGGTCAGTAATTCCTTTTAATACGATGTCATTGATCTTTATGCTAATTTAATAGAAATTTCCCTCATGAAACTCGCCATAAAACTAAAACTGAACGGGAAAACTGAACTGGACCCAATGGGCACCTTGAATTTGAACTTTGAGGGCAGCTCAAAAAAGTAGTCGTTGCATGATCACACGACTTGTACTCGTGTCATGTTTCAGGTCCAGTTGGGATTTGCAGCACCAATGTAACAGAACTCAGAGCTCTCCTTACAAGGGCTCTGCCTCATTCATGACTGTACCAAATGAACCATTCAGACCTTGCATAGTATGCATCAGATATTCATCAAGGAGACTCTTAAAATGTCATCAATGGTGTGCTCAGACTCGATTGGCCCCATGAACACTGCACCTCACTTAAGGAGAAAATTTAGGAACCTTTTCAGGTCGTTGGTTTGTTCATAAGTTCTCTACTAGAGAGAGCTTTCTCATATCGGATGGTACACCCACGGGAAATGGGTTCACACCTCTTTAGGTATGTAAGCACTTTCCCACAAGATAGCATTGACGGAATGCTTTTCGGGAGATATGGGAACCTGCTTTTACACTTTTACATGGAGGAACCCACATTCCCATGAACCAAACACGAAAAGTGGTGGTCTTATGGGGAAATTCTGTCAAGGAGAGAACATATATACAAACCAAATGAACCCCTTGATAGGTATGCACAACCAAATTGTAAACTTGGTCTTACGGCCAAAACACCATGCAAGTGCAATTTGTTTGACGGAAAAAAAAAAAAAAAAAATCTCAAACCATCATCTATATTTGAGATCTTTGGAGCTCAAAAATGGTCCAAATCAATTCCAACTCCAAAATTGATTGAGGATTGTCCATTTTTTAGGATCATCCATTTTGATGGACGATCATGTGTACTATTTCAGAGCTTTTCGGAGTTCCAATTCATTATTTTTTTTTTTTTTGGAGTTCATCACAATGTGACCTCAAAGATAAACCTTGATGTGGCCACAACAGTAGCATCAATACAAGAAAATAAGACGTGTCTTTTACTCTAGGGGTTGTAGTAAATATAGAGGTTGGGTTGAGAGAGATCTAGAGTTTGAATCCTTGAAGTTTGCATAAGAAAAAATCCAAACAAACTAACTTTTTTTCTAAAGGTAGTTCAGCGGGACCTCTAATAATAATAGAACTCAAGACATCATGTTGTGACGTCCCACCATCCTGACCACATAGCTTTGAGCCTCTTCCCATCTAAGGAGCTAACCTAGCCTTCATATAATACGGGCTCAACTGGGAATAGAAGAGAAAAAATACAAAGAGCAATCAAGACTTGCAGCAATGACATAGGATAACCATATCTCTAGAGGAACAAACCAACAAAATCCTCTAAAATTTTTATGTAAGTAATAATGTCTAAAGCAAACCACCCAAATAAACAAAACAACATAGCATATTATATTCATAAATTCCTAATATATGTAGTTACAGCTAAAAAGACAGGTTTTATCAGAGGTGTCATAGATTTACCAGTTTGAAGGTCTCCAAAGTTTGTGAGATCTGAGGATGTATTTGTATATGAGTAACCAACTCCAACTGGTGATTCAAGGAACAAGAGGTTTGCAACTTTGTTCCATGAGAACTTGTTAAGGTAGAGGCCTGAGGCCGATTTTTTTATTCGAAATGGCCCAATCTCTTCAGATGCACCATAAGCTATTGAAGAACACCCAGGACCTATATATATATATGTAAATACCAACCGAATTAGATCACAAAAAATAAATTTTTTTAAAAAAACGGAAAATAGAACGTTGCATGGGTAATGCCCAATGAACATAGGCAGTGGCGGTGTGAGCAACAAATAAAAAAAAGGAAAAATAATGACTGAAATAAAATGAAAATTATGGGCACTTTTAGCATTAGGATGAGGGTATGTTTGGAAAATGATATTGTTAGTTCAAATGAATAGTATAGTCCAAATTACCAGATTGAAGGATCTTGAAATGCATGTCGATTCGCTGAATTTTTTTGTGGACCTAAAATTTTGCATACACATGCACCTCATCTAGGCATTCCAAATGAAAATGTGAATATGCTCGGAAAATGTAGGGCAAAAAAAACATATCTGTCATTCTAAAAATTACCATCATCATCATTGTCAAAGCTTTTTTCAACCATATCCTTTTAAGCCTACTTCTTACTATTTTTTAGACTTCCACGTGAACTAAGCCGCACCTCCTAACAAGTATTGTATTGCGACTGCACCACATATGACTAGCCTACCTAAGTTTACTCTCTCTTATCTTATCACCTATTAGTCGCACACCTAAATTTTCTCGAATATATTGATTTCAAATTCTATTATTTCTTATCTCGTTACTCATTTATCTCAACATCATAATCTCCGCGACAATCATTCTATGGGTATATTGTTTTTCGACAACCCAACATTTTGTCCTATAGAACAAAGTTGCTCTCACCATTGTCCTATAGAACTTGTCCTTCAACGTCATTGGTATGTAGCGATCACATAAAATTCTGTTTGCATATCTCCACTCGTCTATCTAGCTCTATTTCTATATACGACATCTTCCTCAATCTCTCCAATACTGTTGTAGATTTAGGATTCATGATAAGTTGGCAAAGTTTAATGTTAGAAGCCTACCTAACACAACCCAACACCTTTACTCAGGCATAAGACATGGTAAGAGAAAGTTTAAGGTCTTCACCCTCCTTAGACTATATCATTCTAAGAATGGGTTAAAAAGTTAAAAATAAATAAAAAATAAATAAAACACTACGACAAGTGAAAAAAGAAGAAGAAAAGTTTGAGAGAGTGCGTGAAAATACTAAAGGGCTAAGAAACAATCTTAGAAGAAATTTGGACCTAATGGGCTAGAAGTTTAAGGTGGCTACCTCAAACTGGAGAAGTAAGGTGTATTTGCAAAATCCACTTAAAAAGGTTCTTTCGTTGTCGAAAAACTCTATATTGATCATCTAGACCTTGAGATGTATAGATCACAATCATCCGAGCCTTATTTGGGGTCAACTACATCCGTCATTTTATTTTATCAAGGCCGCACCCTCAGTCAAACCATATGTTATCATATCTCTTCTCACTACTTCAATCCATGTCATTTAGAGTCTTTTCATTGCCTTTTTAGAGCTTTCTACTAAAACCAAATCACTCATCTTAACCGGTGTTGTTCTAGGTCAGCGTTGCACCTAAGTCTATTGTTTCTCATCTTGTCACGTATTGGAGCCGCACCTAAGGTCCCTCAGATATATTCAATCCGAATATCATCCTTTCTTGTCTTGTTACTCATCTATCTCAACATACTCATCTCAGCTACCATCATTCTATGTATACGAAAGAAAAATGGATTTCAAGTTCTAAAAGTAATGTATCTTGTAATATATTATCTAGACCGTCTATTTTCAAGATTCTTAAATGATTATAGATGTGCATGATCTACATCATTTTTTAATATTTAAATTTCATAACCGTAGGTGAAATAGATTGTTGACCATCATAAGGATTTCCAACACTAAAACAATTTTTTATTTACTGGAATCAGTTATTTATCACTGAAACTGGGGGGAGAGAGAGATCCCCATAACTACATAGAACAAGCCACTGAATTACTGGAATCAATCATCATGAGTAGACCTTTTCGGTTACTATTCACCAATTTATTGTTGGCTTGGCGACAAATTCTCTTTGCACGCATCACCATCCTCACCTTGCCAAAGCTCATTTGTTCACTGCAAGTACATAGGAGAGAGAAAAAAACTAGAGAGAGAAACAGACAAAAAGCTAACTGCTCCAAAATTTAGAAAATAAATGCATACAGTATTCAACATTTACTCCCTCTAGTACGACTTCATTGTATTGTCTAAGAACTTTGCCAACATCAATACGAGGAGAAAGGACAAAGAAAATTCATGTAGACTATATATGTGCCACAAAAAAAAATAAAAAAAAATAACGTCTTAAGATTGAAAAGAGGCTGTCGAGAACAATTAGATCTAAGTATTTAGAAACCCGAAACCTAATTTTCTTTTGATCAAAATTTCTCATATGACAATTCTAATTAGAGTCCAAAATAAAATTCAAAATCGAAAAAAACTCCTACTAAGTATGCCCGAGGGAGTAGATACACACTATGCTCTTTTGCAACGTGGATCCTCGGGAGTCCTCAACTCCCAATTTTCGATTATGAGATCATCGCATTCGATCGCATCGATCCAACGAAGCAGATTGAAACTTACGGCCATGATCATTTCCTATGAACAGGAGAGTCCAAAGAATTATGAAAAAGAGGAATATTTATTTCTCCTTTTCTTATTTTCTCCTGACTCGGGAACATGGAGAGCTGCTTTGCAGTAAGAGACTGAATTGAAGAAGCCTTAATAGGGGCAATTCCGTCATTATAGAATTTGAGGAGGGTCATATCTGTCTACTTTAAATAGATTGTACATTGTATCGTGAGGCTTCTCATTTGTCTTGGATCCTACATTTATGTGTCCATTTGGTCGACTACAAAATCTCTCTCTTCTCTTTCTCTCTCTTCGAGCAGTAAAACCCCTCTCTCTCCTCTTTCTCTCTCTTCGAGTAGAAAACCTCTCTCTCTCCTCTTTCCCTCTCGTCGAGTAGAAAATCTCTCTCTCTCTCTCTCTTCGAGTAGCCAATCTCTCTCTCTAGACAAACACATCTCCATCTCCTTCTCTATCTGTAATACCACACACACACGTTATATCCACCACCACATGCTCTCTCTCCCTCTTCTTTTGATTGGTATCTCTCTCTAGCACCACACGCACAAATCTCTCTCTAACACCACGCTTAAAACCCCTACCTCTCTCTCTCTCTCTAACACACACAAAGGGAATGAATTCGAGGGAGTGGAAGGCATTTGCATCAGGAAAACCAACAAAAACAAACTATATTAGAGAGTGAGAAAGAGAGAGATGGTTTATGTCTGTTTCAGTGAAGACCGTGTGAGTGTATGTGTGTGTGTGTGAGAGAGAGAGATTGCAACCTCCATTAAGCCATAACACCAAGGGCCTGGACTCGGGCTCAAGCTCTGCTTCAGTAAGCCAATAAAACAGGGCTCTCCCCACCTGCTCATTCACCGTAACATAGCCTGAAAATTGCTTAAAACTCACTTCAGGCTGGCCGGGAAGCCGCAAAATCCTATCCTGTTCTTCTTCTCTCTCTACCCCGGAAGCTGTGCTTTGTTGTTCTCTCTGTACCCCAAGAACTTCTCCTGTGATAGAGGCAACGCAAAGGACAAGAAGGAGCGCAACGTGCTTGGCCATTGCTAAAAACTAAAGAAAAACAGAGGAAGAAAACAGAGATTTGAATAATGGGTTTAGCTGAAAAAGATGAAATTCTGATCTTTAATGCTTATTATGGTTGAATGCCGAAATAAAGAAGAGAGAGAAAGGACGTGGGCAGTCACATGGCCCTCGCATGCCCAGAAAACAGTGCGGGAAATCTCCATAACTCCTCTATTTATATCTTCTTTTGACCTATCTCTCTCTTCCCCTTTCTCTCTCTTACGTGGACCATCAGCCTTACATGCTCTCTATCCCCTACCTCTCCTTTTACACGGGCTTTAATTGTTAGAGAAAACCTCGCGATCTAATCGGTCCAGGCCCGGTTACACCGGCCGGTTCCGGTTTCGAGCGGTTTGCGCTATCGGTCAGTATTTTAAAAATACAAATTCAAAAATATATATATATAATTCTAAAAATAAAGAATTTGATTTGTGATATTTTTTTTAGTACTTTTTTATATTATGGTAAATATTAAAAATTGTTTTGGTCATTAATACTCACATTTAAAATCTATTTTTCATTAATTTTCAACTTCATTTATGTGTTATATTTTAATCATTATTTATAGGGTGTGGTTTGTATAGAGCTTAGGTTCTAAACAATCAAATTAGAGCCTACCTTCAAATAGTATCGAGAAATGTAGTTTCAATACTGAAAATATTTGTGATAGCCTTAAAATATATTTTCATCTTTATTTATAAAGTTTAAAACTTAAAAAATAGTGTAGATTGATAGATCTATGAAAACTTGAAAATCTTGAAAACTGATGATCCAAAAATGTATTACAAAATACACGATTTTCAATACTTGAAATCCATTTTTTTCTCATGTCCATGCATCTTGATGTCGAGATGATGAACGGATATTTAACATCTTTGAAAGAAATTTTTGAGGTAGGCTCAAATTTGATTGTTTAGAGCCTCGGCACTATGTAAGCTTTTTCCTTTTTTATATATATATTTTTTATATTTTAGTAGTTTTTTTGTTTTGCATCTTTTTTATTTTTTTCAACAATATTTTGGTTGCTCGGGATTTGCCCAGTTAGAACAGTTGAATCGGCCGGTTTACCGTTAGGCCTGTTAAACCGCTTCCTACGCTATGTCCGGTTAACCATTCTGGTTCAATTTTGCCAGCACTGGGCACAACAACTTAAAAAATTAGGGCTTGGATCACAAAATGTGTCTCCGTGTACGGCCCCACAAACACAGACCTAGTTTTTATTTTTTTATATTTTTTTCAAAAGTGATTTATATACGGATCTTAAATTTCTTTTCTAAAATATAAAATCCTCTTAGGTAGAAATTACAAATAAGGTCGGTCAGGCTGTCCTTTTTTATTTTTTTCAAAATTGTTCTTTAGTCTAAAGATGGAATCCTCTGTCTAAATTTTAAATTTTAAATTTTAAATGCGGGTTGATCAAGCTTCTTTATAATTTCCACCTATAAATAGAGCATTTCGTATTTTAGAAAAAAATGTAAGGTCCATAAGTAAATCATTTTGTTTTCAATTATTTTTCTTTAATTTTACTCAAAGAAGCTCAGTTCTATTAAGGCGAGAGCTGAGCCTGGGCCTAAGTCGACCGTCAAGGGACTAAGGCTAGGCTAGGGCCACGGCTGGCCCAGCCCCATTGCCAGCCGGGTCAGCCCTAATTAGTTCTACAAGTCTCTCTCCCCTCAGGTCTTTGTCTCACACCAATCTCTCTCTCTCTCTCTGCCCTTACGTGCCTAGGTAGCATTGCATACTCTCACCTGAGGACCCATATTATTTGAAGTGGAGGACGTGGCCCTAGCATGTTTGAATGAATTAATTAACTGTTTATTTGCCTAACCACCAAAGTTAACTCCAATGCTTAAAGCAAAGGAAGATTTTGGGTCCTTTGACTGAACGGTCCTTAGAGAGAGAATAAATGTTTGATTTAAATCATTAGATACACTAAGAGAAAGTCTTAACAATTGTTCGCAAAATCGTCCGATCTTCCAGTTCGGTTTTACCAACATTGATCTCAACATTAAAAAATAACAAAAGTCATAGAGAGAGAGAAGCCCCTTGCTTCGTGTCCACGCGGGGTGGGGAACCTAAATCATGGAAAGAGAGAGTTCATTGTGGAATATGCAGAGAGAGATTATGATTTTTTATGTACTGTGTTGTGTTGTGGAGAATGAAGGCAATGGAGACGGTTGTAACAATAATTGATAATGATGATATCTTTACCTTACAAGCAAATACGGGATTGTAAATTATTTGCTTGCATCTCTCGCTATACAACTCTTACTATTTACGGTATGGTATTTAAAGGTACATTTAATCATTAACACCATCGTCACTCTTTTCTTTCTCTCTCATTAGCTGCCTCACGGATGCTGCCGGAATAAGTGTTCTCTTGTTTGTCTGTCCAGCTTCCGTTCCTTGAAATGATCCCCACCTCTCCCTCTCCTTCTTTAAAATCTAAATCATAGAAGCAATATTTGTTTCGGAGTTTTTGGTTTGGTGAGAAAAATGAAACAATTCGACGCTTCAACTTATTGAGATAAAAGACTTTATACTTTTTTTAAATATAAATAAATTAAATATTTGTATATATAAATAATGAAAAAATTAAAAATTAGAAGTACGTTTTTCTTTATATAGATATTTTTTTCTTAGACTGCAAAGGTCGAAACTTCGATCAAATCAGTTCGAAACGAACCCGAATCTAACCAAAGCGGCTTGAATCTTAACCGAAACGATAGCACCAAGTTTCACTCTAAGCCTAAAATCCGAAGGTTTTGGACTTTTCGACCAAAACGAAGCGAATCTTTCTTTTTGTTTGATATTGGTCATGAGGTTGATGAAAACGCATAACAAAATGTAGAATCCTCGAATTACTCAGAATTGTGAAAGCACCCCTAAGCCAGGATTTTGCCTCAAGGAACAAGTATACAATACCCTTGGAAGAGCAAATGAAATCTCTCTCTCTCTCTCTCTCTCTCTCTCTCTCTCCTTTTTAATTGGAAATAGAGCCTAGGACGTTTGGTTAACACTGATGCCTTGACCCCATTTCCGAATTTCAAACATAGTCCTTGGGGGACTTCAAAGAATAACATCCTAAAAAGTGAATGTGGAGCATCCAATTTTCAGACATTGAGATTTAAGCATTACAGAACTTAAAAATAAATTCTTTTTTAAAAATAATCATTCAATGGTTCTTAAGTTGATCTCAAAATTTTAGACTAAAATCTACCTTACTTTTTTCCCGAAGTGCAAGTGGATAATATATTCCTAGGGGAGGATAAAATATGGGTTGAAATATTTGTTTATTAGGCACTTTGTGCAAGTTCTTTGTCTTGTTATTCTTCTAAGGAAAAAGTTTATATAAGGTTGAGGTTCTAAATTATCAATAAAAGCGTAACTCAAAAATTTATTAGAAAAAATTATCTAGCTGTCAAGAAACCCCCAAACTTGATCATCTCGACCTTGAGATACATGGACCTAAGAAAAATAGATTTCAAATATTGAAAATACTGCATCTTATAATACATTATCTAGACTATCAATTTTAAAGATTTTCATGAAAAAAATTTGAGGCCATCATAAAAAAAATTGATACTGAAATGACATCTTTCAATATTATTTGAATGTGCACTTTACTTTGATTGTTTAAGGCCTCAGTCCTATACAAACTACACCCTTCTTCCAATAACCTCTTTTGGATAGTTTGTGCTATTTCTCTCTCTCATCTTATAGTGTGTTAATTTGGAATCTTTAATTCATTGGAATAATAAATCATTTTCAAACTGGCGTATGCTAAGTTGCAAGGTCTGTTGATTTGGAGTGAGAAAGGTTTGGGAGACACTTTATCAATAGAAAGATATTCAATGAATGTCATAAATTGGCGTTCGAAAATAGCTATGCCTCCTTAACAATTGAGCGACGCTTGGTTAAGAATAATGGATCTACTTTCGCACATGGTGGTTGGTTTTCACCATGTTTATTGTGAGGCTAGTGACGTTGCATATTCTTTAGTTGATTCTCCCATTTTGATTTGAATAATGTATCTTTACAAATTACTCTTGAATAAAAGTTGAGCACTCTTTGTCGGAAAAAAAAAAAAAAAATTCATTTACAAATATACTAGTGGGTTGAAATTGCCAATAGAGCCATACAAATAATGAAAACCTATTGACCAAAAAAAAAAAAGCTCTTGAAACACACTCTCCCGCTCTCTCGTCTCTTTGAATTACCTTTCTATCTTATTCTTCAAATGGTCCCCCTTTAAAAGAATACATCAAATCATTT